CCAGCACAATTTGAACAAGTAAGGCAGCTTTGATTGGCACCCCCCTTCTTCACATCAACACTCCTTCAGGTTTCATTTTCTTTCTCCTGTGTGTTTAATTTATCATGGCTCCAACCAGCTCCACCAGGGCAGCTGGAAAGAGGCACTGTGGTCCAGCAGACACAGGACTAGCTCCCACAAGAAGCTGTGCCCCCAGCTGAGACAAGAGGTCTGAAGAAGCAACAGGTCCCACAACACAAATTGCCAGTAGCTTGAAGCCTGTTTCTAGTCCTGATTTCAGACTCTACAAAAACAGCTCAGTTTTTGACTTAATATGCTGAATTTTTATTATTTATGTCTTCAGATGTGCCATAATTTTCTGCTAAAAGCAGAAATTAGGGCTAGAAATTAGAGCATCTGATAACTACATCCAATATTTATTCCAAAGATTTCACTAATATCTAATGAAGAGTGCAGGACTGAGTGCATGTTTCAAGGAGGAAGGTGTTATCACTATAAAAATGAGCATGCCTACCAGTCTGGCATTTGTTTGGCTTGAATGTTCAGAAGTAAAGAAGAACCTTTCACATCTGATTTCTTGAATGCTCAGATGGAAACAGGCTAAAGAGCTTTGCTCCTCAGAGAGTGGGTGATAAAACACATGTCAAACACATTGCACCTTTTACTCATCTCTTCATCTGCACTCCGAAAATCAGCTCCTGCCCCTACAAAAGCTTGGGCGCTGTGTCTCAATCACCACAATTCCCAGTTATTGCATCTCTGCCTTTAGATCTGAACTGTGGTGTTGATGTTTATTCCTACACTGGCTGCTTTAGTGCTCTGTGTAAGGGAGCCCTGCAGTTCCCTGCCCTGCCAGCACACAAAGAGGAGCTGCCATCCCAGCCTGAAACTATCTAATCCATCCTGGAGGCTGAGAAATACTCTTACTTCCCTGTGATTTTCCACAAAGCCTCCCAAGAAGCTGTAGTTTACCCTACAAACCCGCTATAACAGAGATCTCTAGCTATAGGTAGCAGGTTGAAGCACATAAATACCGCCCCTACAACACACATAGTAAACGAGTCCATCGGGAAACAGGCTATGGAAAGCTGGCAGCTGTCACCCATAGGAAAACCAGAGACAACAGCAGCAAAGTAATGGACCAGCTATAAAAAGGGAGGAAAGAATAAATTCCCAGTACTTCAACGTGTGCTTTGGCTCATTTCAAGGAGAGAAGAAAATAAAAGAAAACCAGCACCCCAAAAAAGCCCTGTTTTACCCCTTTCCACTATACAGCAGTGATTTAAATTAAAGTCTGTAACCCATTACTGAAACTATTATATCACTGCAAAGCTGCATCGTGCAATGGACCTAAGAGCCATCTGCTTGATTTCCCTTTCAGATCATTATCACAAGACATTTTTAATGTTCTAGCCTAACTAGTAAAGACTTTTGAGTTTCAGCCAGTAATAAGGTGTCAGTGCCATGCATAATCCTTCCTCATGCAAAAACAACCCCACTTTTAAAGTTAATAGTGGCTGAAAATAAAGCGAGGAAATGAAAGTCTGGAAATTAAACCCTCAGGGCATCCCAGAAGTAGCACAGCTGATCCAGACATACCTCTCTACCTGTAGAGGAGGCATGGGTTGGATAATGCTCATCTTATTGCCATCAACATCTGTACACTGAGGTCCATCCTCAGCAGGCTATGCAGGTGAGGCAAAACTGATTCTTTCCATTTAAGACTTCCATGGAAGTATACAAGCACACATTACATGCCTTCTGTTCAAATCAAAGTAGAAATAATTAAATTCAAGTAGCATACAGAATATCTTGCAGATATTTTCTTGTTAAGCATTACTAAAGAAAAGCCAATGGAGGGAAAGCTTTGGGGAGCTGAAATACTGCGTTTTGCAGCCCACGGACACCAAAGTTGCTGGACATCAATGTGTGCTGTTTGACTGTTCAACAAGCACTTGCATGGTCTTTCAATTAAATGGAACAGAGTTAGAGTCCTCAGATGATTAATCTAGCCATACCAGGACATGATATTGTGAATCAGCAGGATTAACATGCAGCTCTTCTGAACCACTTTCCGTAAGAGCCTTTCAAACCATACACATAAACATTTAATTTTATGCCCACACAAAGTAAATAGGTATAATTAAACCAATGCCAAGCTTCATACTTGAACCCAGACACAAAGGGCACAGCTTCATGTTTTCTCCTGCAGATCCCACTTGCCCACTGACGAGCATCTTTCCGTGGCCAAAGCATTCAGCTGGTGGTGTGAGCAGGGATGAGACCTCTTACTATTCACACTGTATGGAGACCAAGCCTCACCACCTCTATGTTGAGTATAAAACACCAACCCCATAGCCAGTAAAGAGTGGAAAGAGACTACATTTTATATGGGCAAACTTCCCAGTGGCTGTTTTTCTCTGATCACAAGTGAAATGCCCATGACCAGGCTAACGCTGCACATCTATCAGTTGATTCCATTTAGTTAAATTGAAAGAAAGGTGCACCAGCCAGATCAGCTTTATTCACTGTAACTAATCCCATTTTACACTCAAATAGGGCCTTAAATCCCAAGCAGTTCCAAAGAATTTAGCAAACTTCACAAATTGTGCAACAGGCCAAAGTGCCAACTTCCATAACCTGGCAAATCCAGAGTGACACTGGCAGACCCAGAACAGTTTATTCCAACTATATGTACACTTTATACATCTATAGGTGTATGCATATGTATGGGCTTCATTCAGCTGCTGCTTAGCAAGACACTGGAACATGCAGTCACAGTTTAAAACAAGAAGAAATGAAAAAAAACCCATCCCCACCCAGTGATTTCAGGACACAACTCAAGAAGGGGTCTGGCTGCCATGCCTGGATTTCTTCTGCTCCTCGGAGCAGACACACTCAAAACCTCAGCTCTATCCATCACCAGCACTTTTGAAGGACCCACTGAGTGCAACTGTTCAGTTCCCACCTTGAAAATAAAGCTTTTAAGATTAAATATTTTCTTTAAAAACGACACATCTTCCTCAGTGCCAGGGGATGACAAGTGCCAAAACACCCTGTGATGCTTTTTGTTTAGCATGTGATTACCAAGGTTTCTCACAGAGCAGAGACTGGCTAAATTCTCAGACCTCTGGGACAGTTCAGCCATCCAAGAACTTGGGCACTGATTTCATTTTATTTTCCAGTCTGGTTGATTACCACTTAACAGAAATGCTGGAGACTGCATCATGCTTAGTCAAAAACAACCAACCAGATAGGTGGTTGTTTGAAGCTGTGATGTCAGCCTTCAAGGATGCGCTGGTGTACCTTTGCAGTATTGCAGGGATCCTACTGTCCAAGGAAGATAACTCTGCTTTCTCTGACCTGACAATTACCTTTGAAGAAAGCTATCCCCCATCACAAACAAAGGAAGAGCCAAGAGATAAGTGGGAACCTTTGAATCCAAGGGCCTCCTGGTGAGTGAGGAAATGCATATTATTCCTAGATGAGAGGTATAAGAAGAAGGCACAGGTTTTCTATGCTGGTTGAGCCACGGTAATGCATTTTATGATTGGACAAAATGCAAACCATTTCTCTCATTCATCATTTACCTTTAGAGAGGGGAACATTTGTGCCTGCTCAATTAAAAAGAAATAAAAAAACCATAGTTTGATTAGAGTATATGCAGCCCTGCCACAGTGAGTCTTGCAGTCATTTTGTACATTGAATAACATATCAGCCTTTTACTAAGTCCATTACATTTCTTAATTTGTTTTAGGCTGTGTTTTCTTCCTTGTTATTGTTTTAAATTCACAAGGGATAATTTTAAACTAATCTTCTCATCTTTTTCAGCAAACCCTCATCAATAAGCACTGAAAGGATGATTAAAATATCACTCCATGTAGAACAAACTAAGTCAAAATTACTGTGGGGAGTAAATTACCCTAACAGAGATGTAAAGTCAGTGCCTTAATTTTATGAAAGATTTATTATTAAAAGAAAGTACTCCTAGCCCTGTAAGCAGGTCTTTGTCCAAATAGTTTTTTAAACAGACAAATGACATGCTTTGGTCTAATATTTCTTCATCCACAGTGAAGGAATAACACAAAGAAAAATTGTAATAGGCTTATTTTTTATATATATATATATAATATATAGTAGGTATATAGGTCCAAGTGTTCTTAACAGCTGTATTTGTCTCTCCTGGCATCCACAGGGGCTAAATAACCTTCTGCTTGCTGCTCACCTTTGACTACCACCTTAAGACACGAAGCTGCAGCACTGTCTCTGAAGGACAAAGCTCTGATCACAGAGACATGGGTGGGTTCCCTCCACCCTCAGAGCTGCAGTGGGGTCAGACATGTACAAGGCAACCTGAGCACTCACTGAAGCTGAAGATTACTATCTCCGTGTGATGAACCAGAGGAGCACTACCAGGACTAGTTGCAGCTGGTTTTCATGGCCCTGAAGCCAGACCTGCTGCCCATATTGGCTGCAGAAGTGAACTGCAGGTGCAGGGCTTCACATGGGGCTTGATTCCACTTTGGAAGGCAGATTTCAAGCATATAAATGGACAGCATTGGAGCCCCAGGTCACAAACCCTCCCCTAAATGAACAAGTATTTTACCTACTACATAGACTTTTGCTTTGAGCAACCTGCTCAAGGAAGGTGTCCATGTCTGTGGCAGGGGGTTGGAACTAGATGAGCTTTAGGCCCCCTTCCAACTCTAAACATTCTATTCACTAGCTCTTTTTACTATTTGCCATGTTTTCGGGGGGGTTGGATGAATTATAAGAACTGGGATGTCAGCAGCTGAATTAAATACAAAGCAACTAATACACTGCAAGAGGAGACTGCTTTTTTTCTTGGGTTCATTCCTACCCAAAGTTGGGTTACAGTGCCTTTAGAGACTATACAAGTTAAAACTGCAAAAATTAGGCTAAAATCAGCACTAGCATTTAGAACTGCCTCTCTGAGAAAAGCACGAAGCTTTTAAGGTGGCAGTAAAAGGTGATCACACCAGGCTTGTAGTTAGGTACTCAAATCCAGCCTGCAGTGATGTGGCTGTACTGGCTCTCTTCATCCTTTCATGTCTCATCAAGTGCTTTGCCACCTGCAGAGCTGATGTCTCTGCCTGGGAGCATCCCCAGAGTTAGCCAAGCTCCCATACTGGCTCGCAAGTCAAACTCCTCACGTTACTTTAACACAGGTTAAAACAAAAGGAAGGTTTTAAAGCTAAATGGTTCCTGGCCTCATCTCCCATTAACATCCTTGCACTGTGTTTTCGTTCCAGTTACAAGCAGGAGCCTGCAAGGCTTGGATTTTTTCTTTTCTGTTTGGTGGTTTGGAGGTGTTTTTGGTTTATTTCCTCTTTTTTGTCTTTCTTTTCATTCCCTTCCAACATTTATTCTCTTGAAACACTTCCAGAATTGCCTGCCTAGTTATTTACATTTGATTTATATGGAATCAGTGATACTCAGTTTGTAAGCTTGTCAAATTAATTTTTGGAATTTGCTACGTTAACCTGTGAGCTTTAGGGATATTTTTAATTCTTTAATCTAGATATGGATACTTGGATTCTGCAGCTATTCCAGCATAATGTCCTTAGCCAAATTCTTTAAGGATGCCTCATGTTTTCACATTTCTTCCTGGTTCTAAATAGGTGGTAAAAAAGGATCAGTTTTAGCAGTCCTTGACTGACACAAAATGACACACCCTGAAGTTTAGCCTCTTGGAACTACATTGCTTGACTCATTCAGCTGTAATGCATCGTTCTTTAGTCCGCCGCACTTAGTGTGCATTCATAAAAAGAGAAATCCAAATAACCAATATATTTCCAAATCCTGCCAGCCACTGTGTTCATAAACTGACCAAGTGCTAATTTAGCCCATCAAAGCAATCCCCAGCACACCTTTCTTTTGCTATTATACATTCAAACAGGTTCCAGAGCTGTGATGGACAGCTGATGGACACCTAGGGCTGGACCGACTCAAACACCGTCGAATACCTATTGTGGCAAATCATTCTACAGGATAAAGGCAAAAGGTATGGCTGCCAAAACCCAATCTGTTGTTAAATTCCTTGCCCTTTCAGTTACTCTTGCAGTGCAGGACAAAAAGGAGAAGACTCATCCCAGGAGACCACCACCACACTGGCTAAAGCACAGAAGAGAAGCAGACCAGTTACATATTGCAGAGCATAGCCCCAGGAGAACAGGAAAGGGAGCCACAGTGTTCAGTGCTTGTGCCACAGTGGTGGGCTTACTCCTGTTCTCCTCTTTTTGCTCCACATACATGTCCCTTTCCCTGCCCTGAGAACATTGTCTCCAATATATTGAATTTCTCCCACTCTCCTCTGTGGAAACAGTCACAATTCATTTATTTATTCAACAAAGTCTGCTGCTTCTGTTATAAAATTACCCTTTCCATCTTGCAGACTCCCCATTGCCTCATTCACTTCTTTATCCACTTGAAGTCTCTTCTTTTTACCTCTTGTCCAATTTTCATTTTGCACTCTATCACTGCCACTCTTACGTCTCCTTTAATATATTCAATTATTCTGTAATCTTTTCAGATCCCCTTTGAGTTTGATCTTTCATAATTCACGTGTCCTTTGCTGCCCCTCTTCCCACTTGAAAGTCCCTGTTAGTTATTTTTACAGCAAAGCCCTGCTCTCATCCCAGTACAATGGCAAAACTCCTATTGATTTCAGTGCAAATAGGGCTCTTGGAGTATTTATGGCTTTGCACAATACATAAGCCCTGGGTGGGGGGAAACAACGTAATTAAGCAATACAGCATGACAGACTGTTTCACACTGCTGATTAATGGGTGCACAGTGTGTGTAATAAACGTGAGCCTCCAGCACACCCGAGGTGCACGTTACTCAGCCCTATTATACAACCTGAAAACTCTGATGATTATGAAACAGGTATTTAAAACATTAAAATGCCTTTCTTTTAAGAGGTAGAAATCTTTAATCAGAGCGGAGATCTAGTCTCATGTCCACAACTATCAGGTTGCAGTGACTTCCATCACTCCATGTCGCAGAAATAGACATGATACTGCATTTAGTTTAAGTGGACAATCTATTTACCTTATACCTTTGTCACCATGTGGGGGGCCAATATGCTGGGGATATAGTAATGGTGGGGATCAGATAACATCTTGAGATGATTCTATGACCCTATGTACACTGATGGGGCACATCCTTGACCCACCATCTTTGTTGGTGGCAAGTATCACAAGTGAGGGAGTAGACACACCGTCCCTGGAGACATCCAAGGCCAGGCTGGATGTGGTTCTGAGCAACCTGATCTGGTTGAAGATGTCCCTGCTCACTGCAGGTGGTTGGACTAGATGAGCTTTGAAGGTCCCTTCCAACCCAAACTATCCTGTGATTCAAAGGAGCCTCCACAGCCAGCATGCTGTAAGTTCTGGGAAATACCACAGAGCAATAGTCCCCACAACACCTGCCTGGAAATAGAATAGGACCTTGCTCTTATGTCAGTGTAGTCAAGGGGGTCTGGATGTGTGGCATCCTGGGTGGCTTCTATCAGAAGCCAGTAACCTTCCCACTGGTTGCAATACCAAGCAAGTAAGGCCCATCTGCTCTCCTATTTTGCTTCTCCTGATAACCTTAGTCATAGCTCCACCACAAAAACCAGATATGTACAAACTGCTCACCCACCTCACCTGAGAAGAGGCCTGTTTGAAGCCAGGGTGGGCTGATTCATTCAAGTAGCACCCACTTAGAGCTACAATAGCTCCTGCCTCATGCCACCCGTCAAAGCAAACATGTCACATCTTACTTATAAGGTGCTCTGGTCATGGTGGAGTGCACTCAGCAAGATGCACAGAGCATGACCACGCTCCAAAACCAGGCACTGCCTGCACTGGTTTTTTGCACAGGACAGAACTGATAGCTGCTTTCACAGTCGATCACCATGAGTCTTAAATTTATTAAGTTGGAAATGACAACCCTGCTGAAACAGTACCAAGCTTATTTTGCACTAGGGATTATGTGGGGTACCTCATCCCATTTGCAAACCCCAACACTGTGTGCTCCTGCTGACTCCCTGCTCAGGTGCATTTCTGAGCAGATGTCTTCAGATTCCCAATTTAATACCATTTTCCTGTAGCCTTAGCCTCCCAGATGCCTGCGGATGGCAAGACCTCCTACCACCTGTATGCTCCCCTGCAGCGACCTGCGGAGGGGGTGAGGAGGAGGGAATCCAATAACAGGTAACGATGAGACTGCAGGCACAGCATCTGCCATAGCAGCTCCCCAGTCCTGGCTGCACTCCAGGATACTTCACAATAAACCCCTTTCTCCCACCTTTCTTCCACCTCCCACCAGACAGGCTGCACTCGGATGGTGAAAGCAGCTGAGACCCACACCCCATCACTGAGGGCTGCATTGCACTCACTGATGTCCCAGATTGTTCTACACTAAGTTGTCAGACCTCCTGCTGCGAATCAGCTTTTTGAGTCCTGAACAAGATAAATAAGAAACAAGTCAAGAAGCAGATCCCACTCAACAGACACTGAAGTTATCTGTCGTCCAGTACTTGTTCCCCAACACAGAGTGATGCAGAAGACCCAGTCCTCCAAACTCCCCACTTTATGAACAGCTTCTTTCTCTCCATTTGCACTGAGAAGGGCAGCTTGGTGCTATGTTTGTTTTCAATTTAGGTCCCACGCCAACATGTTCTGAAAGTGTTGGCATTTTCATTTTGTTCAGCTTAATGGAGGGTGACTCAAACCTTAAGCTGCTTGATTTTGGAAAGCAAATCGAATACGCGGTGCAGCAGAGGGTGAGACATGCTGCAGCTCTCTACCAGATTATCTAGTTAAAAGCAAATGTCTGTTTCCTTTCCAGAACAATCCAGTCTCTGTTCAACTGTGTTTTATCTGCCCGTTTCCTTGCTGAAGAGACCTACCACAAACTCCAGACATGCAATAGCTTCACATGCCCGCCCTCTTTTTTTAATCACAACTAGGTTCTTCAAACTCCCGCAAAGCCAAACTGGCACAAGTCTCTAAATACTTTCTAGGACTGCCACGTAAGCATAGTCAGAACAGCCATAGAGAACAGTGAGAGGTCCAAGGCTCTCATCCGGAGGTGTTCTTCCTTGTACTGCAAAAGGAACACAAAACCTTACTTGGGCCCCAAGGCCTTTTACATGCACAGCGGGTTGTCTTCAAGTTAGGTGCTGACGGACCCCACTCCGTCAGTCCCTTCTCTGTCACATTATAGGGCTGCAGGTGGTGGCAATGTGTCATTTTGGCATTGATTGGCTGTGGAAATCTATAGCACATTGAACTATGCTGGATCCCAACAAAGATTTTTGGCTTTATCCCCCCCCCCGCCATGTGCAAACTGCAATATTCTGGGGAAGCAGTGGAACATCAGAGACCAGACATTCTGTATCTAAATCAAAGCCCAGCCCTTTCATCAGGAGGAGGAATATTCTAGAAGGAGAGTATGTACTGCAAGCAGAAGCAATAATTTATGTATTTGGTTGTTAGAGCTGAATTTAGTAATATAGGAGAAAACAAAATAGAGTATTTCATACAAAACACAAACTGAAATAGAGGGTTTCTAGGACCCAGCAGAATTGTACAGTTCCTAAATCATGTAACCAGCTGGTAGCTCTGTAGTTGTTCAGTACCAGGAGCAGTAAAATTTGCCATAATGCCTATAGGCAGCACAATATTGAAACCTTTGGAGACCCTGCTCTTGGCAGAAAGGGATCTGCACAACCATGGGTGCTGGGAAAATCAGTGATAACTTCAGAGATAACTAACAAAGCCACTGTGACAGAATGAATGTAAATCATCAGAGGTCTGTAATTTAAGCGGCAGCACAGGCTGAGGCAAGCGACTTCAGCTAGAATTAGATCTGGGGGGATTAAATGAGAAGCTGAACTGAGTAAGACAAATTCTGAGTGTCCCTGGGTTCAGCTTTTACCTATCTAATCCGAAATTCCCAAACCTTTCCAAAGCATTCAGTTTTGATTCGGGGTTTTGTTTTGAGGTTGTTTAAACGTGAGTGAATCACTCTTTTGGCTGTGACGCCCTGATCTCCAGCTAGTAAGAAAACTTTTGAAGTTCTTGTAGTAAATAGCTTCCAGCA